TTAGTTTAGTCTTATATGCCAACTTGACTGGGTTACTGGGTACCCAGCTATTTAGTCAAACAGTATTTCCAGTGTTTCCATGGGGATTTTGAATAAGATTAACATTCAAACTGGTAACAAATTGCCATTCATTGTGTGTTGGCCTCATCAAATTACCTTAATATCTGTCTCTCCCTATGCAGGTGCACACACACACACACACACACACACATACACACACACACACACACACACACCTGCCTTCTCTCTTCCATATCTGTCACCTTTACTACAGTATACCCAGCTCCTAGCACAGTATACATTACCAGGCAGGTACTCAAATTCTTGTAGATCAGATATCTGACCACATACATTAATCATTAGTTTTAATGAGCATCTAGGAGGTGCTCTGCTGACAGTAAACAGGACATTTCATTCATTTGGAAGGTCCCCAAGCTCACTGAAGCCAACTGCTATAAACACTGATTGCTTAATTGTAGCACTGTTGGCTAAAAGCAAGCAGACCATAAGCCTTTATCATTCAACACTTGTGCAATTAAAGACAATATTTACACAGTATCTCCTCCAAGAAAACCGTGGTCTAAGGCTATGCAGGATTCCAAAGAAAGTGAGACAACCCTCATCCCAAACAAAGAAGAAAAACACTACAATCAAGACTAGTAACTATTTTTAAGTTATTAAAGATTACTTTTATAACACGCTCATCCTGAGAAGTTTCAAAAGATGGTGAAGCTGGTGGAATATTCGCCTAGCATACACAAAATCTGGCTTTGATTCCCCAGCTCTTCATAAATGGGGCATAACGGGGCATGCCTCTCATCCTACACTCAGGAGGTGGAGGCAGGAAGTTCAAGAGTTTAAAATTATGGTCAACTACATAATAAGTCTGAGGTCAACCTGGGATCCTTAAGAACCTGTCTTCAAAATGAAAGGAAAGAAAATGGAAAAGAAAAAAAAGTTGGCTTCAGAATAAAATTCAAATTCAGCCACCTCTAAGAACTCTCCATTGGGGATGAGAAAGAAGTGAGGTGGAAAGATACTGGGTTTGGAATGCAGAGAGGCCGGGCTATGTCCACTGTTAAGGCTTGTCCCCACCATCCCACCATCTCTATCCTGCTGTGACTTATCACAATCGAGATACCGTGAGGACTTTGATGAGACAAGCCTGAGGAAGTTCATCTGAACCCTAGGCTAGGGAATGTGGCTGTCACTGTGACTCTAACCAGGTATTACAGTTAGCATCATGAGTTGCTCTACTTGTGGGCATATTTACCTTGAGTCTCCAGATCCACAGATATCACACCTCAGATGCCACCTGCCCTCAGTGCCCGAGGCTCTGAATTTAATGAATTCGACTCAGGGATGAAGTAGTCTATGATTTTTCTCAATTTCTCATATGTTATCTGGAAACATATGAGAATGGCCTAGCTGGTGATTTTTAGGTCAGCTTCCCTTCCGTCCAAGTCAGCCAGTCAGAAGTCCATTGAGAAGCTGACTCAGACAGATAGGAGCTTTTAAATTCTAAGCTTCAAGGTGCCTCTTAAGGTTGAGACACAGAACGCGAAGTCACTTGATAACTACCGGACTCCTCTACCAGTCACTTCGCCAAACTCAGTCTGAGATCCCACTACAGAGGAGACACAGCCTGGAAGCCTGGGGACTAGATACAGGGTGCTGAGCCTCACCGGTGGCTCCTCAGGCAGACTGCTGTGGACAGACCTCGGCTTTTCATTTTCCTAGCTGGGTGGCTTGTCTCGTCCTTCTCATGTAAAACAGGGCTATGATTAAAGCCTACCTCCTGTGGTCGTCCTCAGAATGAAAGGAGTTAATACATGTGAAAAGCCTTTAGCCTTTAGTGCTTAGTACAAGGTAGCAATATTCGCAATCTAAATCTTTGGAGCTAAATAGAAAGGATGTGGGCAAGTGACCTCTGTCAAGGAGCGGCCAAAGAAGCATTTACCGGGGTCGGTAGTCTGTTCTCTTTGATTGATGTCTCCTTATACATATTTCACACAGAGGCCTGGGGATGTAGCCCAGTTGGTAGAGTGCTTGCCCAGCATAAAGAAACCCTGGGTAGACCCCCAGCACCACATAAACCAGGCATGGTAGCAAGCTTCTGAAATTCCAGTCCTCAGAGCTCAGTCATAAATTCAAGGTCATCTTTGACTATATAATGAGTTTGAGACTAGCCTGGACTACATGAGACCCTGCCTCAAAATTTTAAAAGGCGGGGTGCCTGAGAAGCAGGACCAATAATACAGCCCATCTTCCTCTCTGCCTGAACCTACCCTAGACAGCTATCCTTCTCTCCTAGTGAAAACTCAGGCCACCATCTGGCTGACCTCCATCAGACTCAGGAAGCACCTAGAGAACTCCCCTGCCCTGCAAGCTCCCCCATCAAGACTGCAGGGAAATAAAGAATGCAAGCCTTGCATCTTCACAGGAGACAATCCCCAGTCGAGCACCTAGCAGAGGATCCAGCCAGTATCTGTAGGCAGCCAATAAAGGTTAGCTATTTAAAATGTTATCTATTTTAAAAGGAAGAGGAGGAAAGCCCTACGGTACCTGCTTTCCCCCCAGACGAACACACACATTCCAACGCCACATGCCACGAGAGAGCAGACGGGAATCTGTGGAAGAACAGAGAGATGCCACGCCATTTCTGTAAAGGGCTACGGTGCAGGGAAGACATCATCAGACAGAAGGACAGGAATCTCCTTCTCTCCCCTTCCCAAGAAGAAAAGGGGGAGGGGAGAGAAGACCCTTCGGTGGGGCTTTGTTGGTAAACCTAACTGTGATACTCTTATATTATACTCTATCAATTTGTCACAGTCTAAAATCACCTAGGAGACGGGCCTCTGAGAATGTCTGTGAAAGGTCATCCAGTTATATTCACGGATGTGGGATGACCTGTCCACAGTGGGCAGCGCCATTCCTTGGGCTTGGGGTCCTGGGCTGAATGAAAAACCAAAAAGCTAGCCGAACGCTGCTATACATGTACTGATCCATCTCTCTTTGCTCTTGACTGTGACTACAATGTGACCAGTTCTCTCAGTCTCAGGCTGCTGCGACTTCTCTGTCACGATGGACTAGAACTATAAGCCACAGACGCGTTCAAGTTGTTTTTGTGGGAGTAATTTATCGCAGTATCAGAAAAGAGCTAAGATAACCAATTCTGCACCTAGGTTTTTTAGTATTTTAACATTGCTGAGCATATCCAAGACAGCTTTGGACTTCCCAACTCGCTCTCCTAGGCAAACCACACATCTAGGCTGCCTTCCCTCATGGCTGTGTTTAGCAGTGTGGGCTCCCACCCAAAATCCCATTAGCTTCCTTAGCATGTTCGCAGTAGGCTTTCGACTCAGAGATCTTATCGCCTCAATATAACTTTGTCCTGCTCCTCCCAACACTGACAACGTGTTGTCTAGTCCTGAAACCACAAACCGTGTAAGAGGAGAAGGAAGGCAATACTGTGAGGAAGGAGAGAAGCAAGACTAACTCTGGCATCCATCCCTGTGGCTGGCCATGCGCACACTGAATGAATAGGCCTCCTCAAAGAGCTCAGGGCCCAGGGAAACAGTTCAAGTACACAGTCAGCAGACATTCTTGCAAACCAGGACCTTTAGCGGGAGGCAGTGTGCAGGGGGGAATGTTTGCTTCCTGTTTACCTGGGCAGGTATTTGCAAGGACTCTAGAGGAGTACCACACAGCCCCCAAAGCGGCGGTTATGCAAATGGGATATGCAAACACATGCAAAGCGTGCCAAGGTTTCTATCTCATTTCCCTCTTCACCTGTCTCGCTCCCTTCAACAAAGTGAAAGAGAAAACTCAACAGCTAGGAAGAACCACAGATCCACTCTCCCAGTAGGACCAGAAGGAACACCCCCCCCCCCCCTCACCCCCGCGTCCCTCTCCTTAAGCACCAGGACTCCTCAAGTCACTCTCATGGGTGGAGGGAGTTCTTGGCGGAATTCTGTCCTTGCCAAAGCCCTCTCAAATTAACCTATCACCTTGGTCTCTCCAGACGAGACAGGTGTAAGGAAGGAGAAACCGAGGACGCAAAGGGTGCTCCTCTCCCAAATCGGACAGGAAGGGACGGGGTGGGGAAGAGAGGGGCACAAGGGGACATAAGCTCTGCAATGCGAAAGGCGCCCCAGCCAGGCTCGCCGCGGCCCCTGCCGGCGGGTCTGGCTAGTTCCAGGCACCTCTTGAGGAGGTGATAGGAGTCACCAGCAAGGATGAAAGAAATTAAGAGTTCCTGACCCTGCCGGCCCACCTCGCGCCACTACCGCAGACTCAATTGCGGAAACTCTGGAGACAACTCCACATGGGCCCAGTGACCCCCAAGCCGCCCCACCTAGAGCGCACTGACTGTCTCCCGGCGCAGCGCAGCACCAGGGCAAGAGCCCTGGGTACGCTTTTGCCTGCAACTGTCGTGGGGCGCCTTGCAACACTGCAGGGCAGAGGGGAGGGGGAGAAAAGGCAGAGAAGGCGGAGCAGGAGGCCCGGGAAACACTAACATTTGCCAGGAAAGCGCCTCCTCCCGAGAAAGGAAAGGAAGGGCTTCCCGGCTTAGGAAACGCCCCGGGGATGCCCCCTACGCGAGGTGCCGCCTTTCCCTGGCTCACCCATTCTCTAACCTCCAGTCGGTTCTCCACTTCACCTCTTACCCCAAAAGCTGGTCCTAGCTCCCTTCCGCGGGCGTCCAAAGAGACCCACACTCGGTTTGGGCAGTCTGCAGCTTGCGCAACAGGCAGAGCCCGGGCTCCAGCGACGGCGGGCTCCCAGCTCCGGGACTGGAGGATGGGGAGGAAGCCGCAAGCCAGGCGCCCAGCAGGATGCAAAGTCCCTAGTCAACACAGACCTGTGAGGTCGTGCACCCGCGACCTGAGCCACCAGGGACTGGAACAGCAAAAGGTGGGGGGAAGGTCCAATAAAGTTGAGGGGTCGCATGGAGAAGTGTCAGGGGCGCACGGGGAGGTGGGAACCCGAGCAGGTACCTGCAGGAGTCTGGAGTCCTGGCGCGTCTGGCTGGCCGGGCTCTGCAACGTCGCCTGCCCGCGCTGCAGGGATCCGGCCTCGCCGCGCGGCCCCGCGCCCGCCGCCGCGGCGGCAGGAGAGCGGGTCAACCCGCGCGGGTCGCTGAGTCCACGGATCCCGCCCGGCCGGAGCTGGGTGCCTAGAGAGGCGGGCGGGACCGGGCGGGGCCAGTGTCTCAGTCAACGCCCCGCTGCTCTGCGCTCCTCCCGCCGCCTGGCGTCCGGCTCTCCTCCAGGGTTCCCCCGGCCCAGGGCGCGGCGCGGCGCTCGCGGGCGGACAGATGTGGACTGGTGGGGTCCCACCACCCGCCCCATGCACCGATGGTGAGACCCAGACACATCAGTGCGGGACTTGCATCGCGATTCAGGCCCAAGTGCAGAGTCACCTCGGGAGTGTCCCGCCCTGCCCCAGAGGGAGGTCAAGGTCACGTCCCACGCCTCCCACCTTGCGCGCGCCTGGGAAAGATCCGCAGTCCAGCCAAAGAAAAATGACCTCTCCCGTGGCCCGAGCAAAATGCCTCTCGAAAGTCGTGGCCAGAGCAACACTTTGCAAAATTGCCGGGATTTTCTTGGGCTGTCACGAGGCCCCAACTTGTTTTACAACAAAGTGTGAAGGAGGAAACGACCCCGTTTCTGCCACTGTTTGCCACCACCCGCTCTCCCTGAAGACTCACACACAGTGTGGAACAAGATGATTTGTTCCTTTCCTCGACTTACCAAGTCAGAAGAGATGGCTGGACACATGCCCTAAGCATATGCACATCATATGGAGAAAGGAAAGAAGGGAACTGAGTGGAAAAGGGAGAATGGGAGACGGAGTCACCGGGAGATGGCTCCGGTCGGGGTTGAAATAACAACCAAGGACCTCAGCAAGGGCAGCGTGTGGTCCAGAAGACATGCCTGGCCTCCCCGCACTGGCACTGAGCGAAAACACAACCAACAGCCCGGAAGAGAAATGGGACGCGTGGGGACCCACCCCCGCGCTCCCCCTCCCGCCCCCAAACTGCAGATTTTTTTAAGTTGTGCAGACATGCAGCCGTTCCTCAGAGCCAGCTGCTCAGAGTTGTAGGCGCCCAGTGTTCTCAGGGTTCCCACCAGACATTACAAGCTCTGCTGGCTGCTCCCAGCCCAGTGCCCCTAACCCAGGCTTGGTGACAATCGCCTCAGACAGGCGCCTAGCAAAACCAGGCATCTTTACAGTGGAAATGAAGGATTCACCCAAAAGAAGAAAGATGCTTTTCTGACCTCATGTGGTGTTTGTGGGTTTTCTGTTAGTTCCCTGTTCATCAAAACCCACATTGAGAGTCAGAGGGTTTCCTGACTAGGAAAGAGAACTAGGTCTCCAGGAGGGGAAGCCTACATCTTATTTTTTTATTACATTGTATTTATCTTTATGCATATGCGTGGGTGCATTCTCACCTTAGCATGTGAAAGGGGGACTCAGGGGACAACTTTCAGGGACTGGTCCCTGCTTCCCGTGGATGGAACTCAGATGGTCAGGCTTGGTGACAAGTGTCTTTACCCACTGATCCATCTCACTAGCCTCTAATGCCTGTATCTTCAAAAGAGGTCTGGCCCAGAGGAGGGGGTCCTAAGCAGCCAGCCGAAGACACTGAGGATCTTGGAGACTCTGGCTCAGAGAAGGCAAAATGAGGATGCTGGCCACAATAGAGCCTATTTGGACCTCTGTCCCTAAGATCTTCGTTATTTGGTCCCCTCAAGCCTGCCCCTCTGGAGTCACAGAAAACCCAAGGCATTTGTCTACTCGGCTCTTTGCATGTATCTGTGGAAGGTAATTTTCATAAACATTCATCATCTTTAATCTAAGATCTAAATTATTCTAAATGTTTACAGTGTATCAGCATCATAGAATCAACGCTCCTGGATCTCCCCCAGCAGTTAGCTACTTGAGCATTTTGAAAGCGGGAAGTTTATCCCCCAAGTCCAGCCTTGCTTGCCTCAGAAGGACCAGGGCAAATCATCAGTCTGTGGCCTGCAGAAGGCATCTGTAGGGCAGAGTAGGCAGTGAGTCCTTCTCCTGAGGTCTGGGTGGCACCCATGCATAGAAGAGGGGGTACAATCAGACATGGTCAGGGAAGGTCTCTTCAGGAGCCAGGCATACAAATGGTGAGCATGCTAGAGCAGGGTGTGTGGAGCCACTGGTCTGAGTCAGTGGGTCTGCCACTGAATCCCACGGGGAGCCACGTGGTCCTTCAGTTCTCATTTGTCACCTATACGGGAAATCCCTTCCTCACCTGCTGCCCAAGTAAAGTACATGAAGCAGGAAAGAGGAAGGCGAATTTGCTTCAGAAAGTTCCTCTCTTTCTCTCTCTCTCTCTCTCTCTCTCTCTCTCTCTCTCTCTCTCTCTCTCTCTCTCTCCCTCTCTCCATACCATGAACTCATACACTCATATCCTTCCTCCACTCACTGAAACGTGTCCTTAATTTTTCATCCTCAAAGTCCAAGTGGCAGAAAACCAACTTGACCCCACCCCTGAAGGTAAGACAGTACCAGCTCATCTCTTGAATGGAGACAGGTCTATCGGTGAGAATGAAGACGTTCTCATCTCAGGCATCAGGATAGGGAGTGAGTGCATGTTGATAACAATGGCCAACATTTGTTGAGTTGGTCCCTCTGACTGATCCCCGCTCTTGACCCAGCAGCATGAATGTCACTATAGCCAACGTGAGTGCATAAAACACCTCCCCCAAACCACCAGGCTATTGGGGTCTGCCCAATTGTCCAGTCCTTCCCTCCACAGACAGCTGGTTGGACTCCACTAACAATTAAGATCCTCTAGGAGGTTGCTTCTCCCTCATGGGTTATGACTCTCATCTCCACCAGAACTCAGCACCCTGTGCTTCCCTGTTGCACAACCCCTAACATGCTGGCTTTTAACTGTTTATCTGCCACTAGGGAAGGAGCTCCTTGGTAACCACATTTCAGGGACCTTCTGTAGGCTCTTCCTGTGTGTGCAGTGAATGACTGAAGGCTCTGTCACGGGGCCCGCAAGTCCCATCTGCTCCTCATGGGTACTTAAATCTTTTGTTTCTATGCTGCCTTTTGCCAGGTAGAAAGAAAACATGAGCCATCACAACCCTCCTTTTGCTTCGTTGCTGGGAAGCTCGGAACTAAATTTATATAAATTAAATTTAGCTCTTAATTAGCTGAAGTGTTCTTGCTCCAGATTATTTCAATGATGTTCAAGCCTCTTTCACAAAACAATGGTACACTTACCTGTTGCCTTATGATGTAGTATTTTGTTGTTGTTGTTGTTTTAACAGACCTTAAAGTTTTATGTTCTTAAAGGTCCAAAGATTCAAATTCCAATCCTCCTCTGCCTCTGACAAGCTCGGCAGTATTTCTTCGCTGGCTAGCTGTTTGGGTTTGGACCATATGATATTCATGGTCGTTGCCAGCTCTAAAAGCTTTATACTTCTATAGATAAAAGGAGACAGTTTATAAATTGTTAATGAAAGAACCCTGTGACAGAATATGGCTCATGTCTCTAAGCACAAAGGAATGTACCCCTCAGGTACCTGGAGACACCCTTCCAGGGCCCCAGAGAGCCAGCCAAGGTGAGTCCTACAGAGTATAGTGCCCTGGCAGAAGGCCTTGGTTAATATACTACACTGTGTTCTCAGGGAGTATCCTTTACTCACTTGGCCAAAACGAAGACTTTGACAAGTTAGGCCATGAAATGCCCTAAGGGAATGGCCTTTCAGATGGCTACCACTTGACTTCTCCCCACCTCTCCAGCTTTTCACATCTTTCTGTCTGCATTACTCAGTCCCTCACCAGACTTCCTGCTTCAGACATCCTGACCTCTGAGTCTTGGCCTTGCCTTTGCCCTGATCCTTAATGCTTCCCTTCTGCACTTAAAAAAAAAAAAAATACATACTTCCCCTGCAAAGTCAAGGCCGGTCTCACTCATCCAAAGTGGCTTTCTCTCACTCACTCTTGGGGTGCAGATGAGAACTGTCCCCCACAGTTTTGAATGTTGAATGTCGTTGTTCATGACCCTGCTGAGAGTTAAAGAATCTTATGGGATGGGTTCTAGGTCTTGGGGTAGGAAGGTGCCCCCAGTCCTTTCCTTCCTCTTTCCCTGTTTCCTGCTCCCATGTACACTCCAACCACCACGTTGTTCTACCTTGCCACAAGCCCGGAAGCAATGTGGCCCAGAACACTGAAATGTAAGCTAAAATCATCAGTCCCCTTAAAGTCATTTGTGCCAAAGTTTTGTTTTGTTTTTTTCCACAGAAATTACAAAAGTAAGTGCTACTGAAAAATTAGTTCCAGGAGCAAGGTCACGGCTGTCACTAAACCATGTAAATGATTTGGGGGAAGGGATCATTTGGAAGAGTTTGGAGATAGGGGTTTAAAAATGTTCGAGACCGTTGTAAACATAGCTTACCGTGACCTCCTGTGGAGGTTTGAGAATATCGGGATGTGGATAAAATGTGGATGGAGGGATGGGGCTCTCCTGGAGCAGCTTTTGTAAACATCCACAATGCCACCGTCGTCAGGTCATAGAGGTATCCATCCATAATTCAAGGATCCGTTAGGAGGCCAAACAATGTAGGGCAACGTCAGAGTCCCCAAAGGTAATCTGTTGAAAGGACAGTGTATAAGCTGCAATTGAGAGGCCAGGATGTTGGAGATGCTGAGCACACGGAACAACTGTCAAGGAAAGTCAGAGGCAAGAATGGAGTGGGCCAAACATAAAGATCTTGTGGGCTATAGCCATCAAGGCCATAGAGGGGGCTTTCTAGAAAATCCTCAGGGGCTCCCATCGTGACGCCATATACCCTGGATGCTAGACATGGAGCTGCAGGATTTAGTGTTTGCCATGCTGGCTTTTGTTCTTACTTGGGTCTCACCCCTTGGTATTTTTATTCCTCTGTTTTGCAATGAGCATGTCTACTTTGTGCTTGTGTATCTGGGAATGAAAGCTTTCTCTTTTACTCTACATGGAGTCACAGCTAAAGGGTTTCTGTGGGTCTCAGTAAACACTTCGGACTTGGCCTTTTGAATAAATGCTGGACCTCTAGGAGGTGCACTAGATATATTTTGCCTGATGAAAAGTAAATAATCCTTTGGGGGCCAGAGGTGGAATGTTACAGTTTGAATATGAGATGTCTCCTAGGGGCCATGTTTTTACCAGGTGGTCTCCAGCTTAGGGTGCTATTTTGGGAAGTGGTGGAAACCTCAAAAACGGTTCCTAGATGGATAAAGAAAGTCACTGTGAGCATTGCATTGAAGGTTATATCTGATCCCTGGTAACCTTCTTTGCTCTGTGTATCCTATTCTCCAATAGATGAACAACCTGCTCCTTTATGTGCTTCAGCCACCATGATATTCCTCCTCACTATGGGCCCAGAATCAAAGACGCCAAAGGCTGAAGCCTTTGAAACCATGACTGCCTTAGTTAGGGTTGCTGCTGCTGTGAATAGACACTATGACCACGGAAACTTTTATAAAGGAAAACATGCATTGGGGGTGGCTTACATTTTCAGAGTCCATTGTCATCATGGTACAACATGGTGGGATACAGGCAGACATGTGCTGGAGAAGTAGCCAAGTGTCCTACATCTTGATTTGCAGGCAACCGGAAGTGGTCTCCAGTACAGGGCGTGGTTTGAGCATGAATAAGACCTCAAAGTCCACATCCACAGTGACATTTCCTCC